GCTCCCCACTCGCTGCACAAATCCCAAGAAGCCAACCATGATTTCCCCATTTGCACACCTACCCTCAATGTTGGAGTCCCAGCAGAGACACTTTGCGGCCACTATTGCAATATTTGGTACAGCGTGCCCACAACGCAGGGGTGGTTAGCCCATAGATATACAGAGTTGCAGTCCCCTTTCATGGCTGTGTCAAGAAAGCTCCAGCAGGGTTGGGCTCTGTGACAAGCAGGTATGCAGAACACCATAATGGTATGCAGGCCCTAAACATCCTACATACCTTGTGCCAGAACTGCAGTACAAATGTGGAGGAAGAGATCAGATTTGACTTTGCGTCGAGTGAGTTTTTATGAAACATTTAACTTTTATTTTGCAGACTTCATATGGAAGTACTCAAAAAAGATACTACACAATTGAGTCATGAAAAAAGATTGAAGGCACCAGCCACAATACACAGCAAGCCAGTGAAGAATGAGAAGATTGCAGATATTTTATTAATAAACCAAAGCTTGTATAAGTTTTTGGTTCCTTGAGGCTTTTATATTTTCTATTTCTCATATTAAAGAAAACATGGCTCCCAGGTCTCTGAAAGATGGTTTCCCCCTCCCCTTTTAATAAAAGTGTCCCAAATAGAGCTAAATCATATAATAGTGGTGTGACATTGCACTCCATATGTTTTATGGCAATATGTTTATGAGTGTAAATATGATGTAACTGGAATATGCCTTATGCAGAAGGTCTCTTGTAAGGTATCATAACAAAGGTTATAACCTACTGAATATATTCCTCCTATTTGTATGTATCATTCTTGTATCTGAAGTGAGAAATATAAAGTATAACTCTGAGGTCCTATTGTAATTATGCGAAGTGTGGGCCATTGATGGTGGTTTAGAATCTTGATGGCTCCAGTTGACTGGGACAATTGGTTGTAAATGGCTCTGTTTACTTGCAAGCCTTTCTGTGTTTGTGTAAGCAGCCCAGGCAGAATGGAGGCTGGGGGTCTCAGAGGACATGTGATCATGTTACATGATGCTGAACTCCATCTTAAATCTGGTACTTTCCCATTTTGAAGGAGGGGTGGGGACCCAGAGAGACAAAAGATTCCCGCCTTGGGCCAAAGTTATAAAAGGGATGGAACAGAACAAAGGGGGCTGCCGGTCATGAGAAATCCCTTAGTTACCACCTGAGCTGGAACTAACAAGGACTGTACCTGGGAAAAGGATTGGGCCCAGACTAGGAAGGAGTCTAGTCTGTGAAAGAAGCTTATTGGAACATCTCTGAGGGTGAGATTTTACCTGTAAACAGTTTCTTAATGTATTAGGCTTAGACTTGCATGTTTTTGTTTTATTTTGCTTGGTGATTTACTTTGTTCTATCTGTCATTAAATGAAACCACTTAAATTCTACTTTTTATACTTAATAAAATCACTTTTGTTTATTAATTAACCCAGACTAAGTGATTAATATCTGGGGGAGCAAACAGCTGTGCATATCTCTCTATCAGTGTTATAGAGGGGGGACAATTTATGAGTTTACCCTGTATAAGCTTTATACAGAGTAAAACGGATTTATTTGGGGGTTGGATCCCATTAGGAACTGGGTGTCTTGGTGCTGGAGATAAGTGACTTGCTGAGCAGTTTTTGGTTAAAGTCTGCAGATTTGGAGGCATAGACCAGACCTGGGTTTGTGTTGCAGCGGGCTAGCATGTCTGGCTCAACAAGGCAGGGTTCTGGAGTCCCAAGTTGGCAAGGAAAACGAGCTCAGAGGTAATTCCAGCATGTCAGGTGACAGTCCCAAGGAGGTCTCTGTGACCGAACCCATCACAAGTGGTCTCTGTTAGTTGAACAACCAGGAGTCCGGTGGCACCTTGAAGACTAACAAATTTATTTGGGCATAAACTGCTATCATTAACTTATTCTGGGGAAAAATCTTTATGTCTCTTGTTGTTACAGGGAGACCAATACCTCTTCTACCTCACACTCCCAACCCCCAGAAAAGAAGGTATTATTACAGCTTCGTTGTTGTGTCTGCTCATAAAAGGGTGGAACAACTTAGCAGTAATCAGTAACACTATAACATTTATTTACAGTACACAGTACCTCTGCAGAACGCCTCTAGATGGTCATTTTCAGGGTTCTTATAATATGTGGTTTAACAGGCATTGGTGAGGCCTCATCTGAAGTACTGAGTCCAGTTTTGGGCCCCACACTATAAGAAGGATGTGGAAAAATTGGAAATAGTCCAGTAGAGGGCAACAAAAATGATTAGGGGGCTGGAGCACACGACTTATGAGGAGAGGCTGAGGGAACTGGGATTATTTAGTCTGCAGAAGAGAAGAATGAGGGAGGATTTGACAGCTGCTTTCAACTACCTGAAAGGGGGGTTCCAAAGAAGATGGATGTAGGCTGTTCTCAGTGGTACCAGATGACAGAACAAGGAGTAATGGTCTCAAGTTGCAGTGGGAGAGGTTTAGGTTAGATATTAGAAAAAACTTAGGAGAGTGGTAAAGTACTGGAACAGGTTACCTAGGGAGGTGGTGGAATCTCCTTCCTTAGAGGCTTTTAAGGTCAGGTTTGACAAAGCCCTGGCTGGTATGATTTAGTTGGGGTAGGTGCTGCTTTGAGCAGGGGGTTGGACTAGATGATGTCCCTTCCAACCCTGATATTCTATGATTCTATGATTCTTTTGTGGGTAAAAACCCCCACTTCTTCAGATGCATGGAGTGAAAATTACAGATACAGGTATAAATATACTGGCACATGAAGAGAAGGGAGTTTTTGTAGTGAGCCAGTAGATCATTAACAATCTACAACCTATCCTGGAAAATGATCCCTCTCTCTCACAGACCTTGGGAGGCAGGCCAGTCCTCGCTTACAGACAGCCCCCCAACCTGAAGCAAATACTCACCAGGAACTACACACCACACCACAGAAACACTAACCAGGAACCAATCCCTGTAACAAACCCCATTGCCTACTCTGTCCCTATATGTACTCTAGCAACACTATCAGAGGACCCAACCACTTCAGCCACACCATCAGGGGCTCATTCACCTGCAACGTAATATATGTCATCGTGTGCCAGCAATGCCCCTCTGCCATGTACATTGGCCATACTGGACAGACTATACGTAAAAGAATAAATGGACACAAATCACACATCAGGAATGGTAACGTACAAAAGACAGTAGGAGAACACTTCAATCTCCCTGGACATCAATAACAGATTTAAAAGTAGTCATCCTTCAACAAAAATACTTCAGAAACAGACTTCAAAGAGAAACTGCAGAGCTATAATTTATTTGCAAACTTAACACCATTAATTTGGGCTTGAATGGGGACTGGGAGTGGCTGGCTCACTACAATTTTCCCTCTTTTGGTATTGACACCTCCTCCTCAATTATTAAGAGTGGACCACATCCACCCTGACTGAATTGGCCTTGTCAACTCTGGTTCTCCACTTGTAAGGTAACTCCCTTCTCTTCCTGTGCCAGTATATTTATGCCTGTATCTGTAATTTTCACTCCATGCATCTGAAGAAGTGGGGTTTTTTACCCAGGAAAGCTTATGTCCAAATAATCTGTTAGTCTTTAAAGTGCCACCAGACTCCTTGTTGTTTTTGTGGATACAGACTAACATAGCTACCCCTCTGATACTTGGCACCATGTTGTTAGTTGGTATAACCTAGCTTGTAGGCCTCTGGAGGTAAAAAGTCATTCTGGAACTCAAGGCAGTAATACAAACCAAACCAACTCTTGCTCAGCATGGCTGCCAAAGCAACGTCTTCTGGGGATTATTTACTAGCTGGATTTACACACTATCTAGAATTTAAAGCTGCTTTTCCTTGACAGTGAATCCCTCTATGGTGTAGCTTCCACAGTGGGTGCTATGAAGCATAAATTATATTTCCTCATGATCATTGAATTAAATCTGGTCTATTACCTGGACCCTGTGTGACTTTCAGAATTCTGCTAAAGTACAATTCCCAAAAGCACCATGAAGGGGTCAAAGAGTAACAACCTTTGTGATACCAAAAATCAAATTCAAAACCTTGGATGAACACTTTAGGGATCTAGGGCACTTTCACTGCATATGAAGGTAAGTACTTTTGTGCTATTACCTCCTTCTCTCTAGGGACACACCATAGCATAGCACACTGTATTGGAGAGTCTCATATCTGGTGTTTTAGGTATAGCCCCTGCTCCTGGAGTCCTTTAAATTTGTGAGATTCTCAGCTTTAGTTAAAAAATGGATGTGTCTAGCCCTTATTGCTGCAGAGAAAAGCTAGAAAACATGGACGCTAAAGGGCCAAACCCCAGAAGGCAAATAAAAAGACCCCAAGTTTTTATTTTTTAAAACCTCATGATTTGTCAGCCAATCTCAGGCTTTCTGGGTGTCTGGGTCACGCTGTGTTTGAAGGCTTGAGGTTGGCAAACCTTGTAATATTTCCATTGGAAATAGCTCAATAGGCAGGTCTTTAAACAGAGGGGAGCAGGGGTGGAAGGCAGCCAAGGAAAATTTAGTTAGAAATAGTGAGGGGGTGTGTGTGTAAGCAGAGACTGTTCCCACTGTGGGGGAAGGGGGAGAAAGGTAGGAGTGAGGGGATGTAGGGAGGGGAGTGGCGGACCCAAAGGTTGAGGCAATAGAGGGCGAGAAGCTTGACAGCAGGAAGGGAAAGAAGAGGATGGGGAAACTGTAGGTGAGCAATGGCGCAGACAGGGTGCCCGGCGCCGCAGGACACTCCCCCACCTTGGCCGTTGCTCCGCAGCCCATTTGTTTCCCCTCAGCCGCAGTTTCTGACAGCTGCAGCCATCACCCAAAGCCACCAAGCTGCATATCCAACGCCACAGCAACCACTAGGGGACGGGGCGGGGTCCTAGTCGCGTTGCACCTTGGGACTTGTAGGCGCTCACAGACTCTACCCTGCCCGGCGAGGCGACTCAAAGGCGCGGGTGAAACTCCAATCCCCATGATCCACTTTGAGAGGCTGCCAAGCAGGTTCCGCAAGGAGCAGGCTGAGCTGTGGGCGTTGGGGTTTCCAACCGAACCTCTCCGATTCTCCAAAGCCGCTTACGCCAACTCACTAACCTTCCCGCCCACATTGAGTGAGGCGCCAGGGCTGCCTAGGAAACATGCCTGGCCGTGTGCGCTGGAGACTGAGCCCCGGGAGGGGGAAGGAGGGGACGCCGGCCAGCCAGCCAGCCAGCCAGCCAGCCAAGGGAGTGCCATTCTCCTCTCCGCGCTGCCTGGGTGAGCTGTACTCGCCTCTGTCGCCACTCGCCTCGGAGCACATGAACCAGGCTGCGGAGAAGAGCGCTGCTGCCAGGTGGGTGACAGATAGCGACCGCTTGGGCGCGCTGCTTTGGCTGTGGGCTTTTGTGTCAGGTCACATCCCCCCACTACCACTCCCTAGTGGGGCACGGTGCCCTGTGTTATACCTCCTCCCCACACACGGAGGAGCATTGCTTTGACTGTGGGGTTAGTAGTATCCACTCGCTTCCCTGGGGCACGGTGCCCTGCGTTATTCCCTCTCCCCCCCCCCCCCCCCGACAGAGGGGATCGTTGCTTTGGCTGTGGGGTTAGTATCCATTCTCCCCTCTCGGGCACGATGCCCTGCGTTATTCCCCCCCCCCCCCCGAGACAGAGGGGATCGTTGCCTCTCGGGCACGATGCCCTGCGTTATTCCCCCCCCCCCGGAGATCATTGCTCTGGCTGTGGGTGTTCGTATCCGTTCATCCCTGTGGGAACATTTCTCTGGCTGGGGGTATTCGTGTCAGATTACCTCCTGTGCAGGATGATGCCCCGTTTTACTCCTATGGGGAATATTGCTCAGCATGTGACATGAAGTTTAAAGCTCCCCAGTCCAGTCCCCTCTGTGGAGTGTTGCTCTGGGGGACAGCGCCGGGTTATACCACCACCATGGACTATTGTTTTGAGTGTGATGACGGATTATATTCCTTGTGTGGAGTATATCTTTGTGTGTGATGCCAGATTTTACCCGAAGGGTCGTATTGCTTTCAGTGTGGATTCATTGATAGTAGGTTATGTACTAAGTGGGGAATATTGCTTATGTGTCTGGGGGAGGCACCACTGAGGAATACTGCTGTGGTTGTGAGGTACAGTTTATATTAACCGATACCAATACACTCTGGGTTAGTTTGTTAATATAAGGTTAAATGGAGGATAATGAATATGGTTAGAGGCATATTCTGTGGAAAATGCATGGTTTAGCCTTTTGCTGGTTAGCTTATTCCTATCCTCCCTTCCATCTAGTACTGAACAGTGTTATCTGCATGAGTCTTTGCTTTTCTTCTTCTCTGATTCAGAAATCTCTCTCTGACGTTTGTGACTGGCTTTTTGGTGAATGAGTGTGGTGTGAGGTGAATGTTACAAAGGATGTGGAGAAACCACACAGAAAGGATACGAACTAAAAATTTAATTCCGGCTTTAGGGTAAGGAAAAGGAAATCATGAAAGTATGTGTTGGTGCAAGGAAAAAATTGTTATTCCAAAACATGGTAGTAAACATTTTTTTAAAAATGCTTTCTTGACTTGATGGTAAATTGAAATGTTTTGGTGGCTGCAAAATGGACAGTGTTTGAATTAAATTGTTGTTTTAGACTCCGAGAGAGCTATTTTTTTAGGACAGAGCGGGGAAGAGGTCATCTTGTTTGGATGTATTATGTTAATTCTGTTTCTCTTGAACATTATCCTGTATGCAGATTGACAATTGCAAATGAATTATGGTGGAAAAGCTGAGAAGAATTCCATATAACTCGCTTAGAACTGACAGAATAAATTCAGATTTATTGCTGGAAAACCCTTACACTTTGCATTTTAAGTTCACGTTTATTTTACATTTAAAATATACTTTTTTCCCTTTTTTATTTTCAGTTTAAATCTACAGACATAAATTTTAAAAGGGAAAAACCCAGAAAGCCTCTTTTTGGAGGAAGACAAGAAAGTGCATTAGAGGAGACACAGCCCGGACTCTTCTCCAGATGGTGGTGACATACAGAAGTTACTTTGCCTTTGGAAAGAAAAGACCTGTGTGACATTAATTTACGTGTATGTGCATTATCCCCCTTCCTCGCCCCAGAAGTTGTCTGGGCTGCAAAGCAGCGGGGAGGCTGCAGCTGCTTGTCTCGGGCAACAGAAGATTATGGTGCCAGCACAATAGTAGCAGCCGCGGCAGGAACAGCAGCAGCAGCAGAGCTGGTCCGTGAATGTGTGTTCTGATTAAAATCAGCATTGGAAAGTGCAACCTGAAAATTCAGCAGCTAGGCAGGAATTGATAACGTTTAAAAGAGGGAAACATTTTAAGGGGGAAGAGGGAGGGCGGCACTAGGTTTTGTGTGTGCTTGTGGGAGTGGGGATTGATTATCATGGCGGATCGGACAGCTCCTAGATGCCAGCTACGTCTGGAATGGGTTTACGGGTACAGGGGTCACCAGTGCCGCAACAACCTGTACTACACGGCAGGCAAGGAGGTGGTTTACTTCGTGGCTGGAGTCGGGGTGATTTATAACACCAGAGAGCACACCCAGAAGTTCTTCTTGGGACACAACGATGATATTATCAGGTAAGGGGGGGGCAGACAGTTGGTGTGTGTGGGGGTTAATAGAGAGGGGCGGGGAGAGGAGAACTAGTAAATACCTCCTCCTCTACTCACCTCTGAGCATGTTTCTTTAATTTTAGGGAGAAGCACAGGTTGTCATCAAAGGCCTGGGTGAAATCTAGATCTGTCTGGATCCTGCTGATCTTTTTTGTATTGAAGCCCCCAAATTGGAATTCAGAATAGAAAATGAGTTTAGCCTCTCCTATTGCACCACAAACAAACAAACAAACAAACAAAAAACAACACCACCACAACAGGAAAAATCAAAAAAGTTTAGTGCAAAAACTTTACTGCAAAAGCCCTGCCAATTTTCGGTCCACAGTCCCTTAATGATGATGACTAAATAGAGAATATGGTGTAGATGCTACTCTTACAGCAATAAAATCTGGACTCCAGACATCCCAGTTCAACAGTATCACAAATGCACCTGAATCCTGCCATTTTTTGGTTCCCACACTGCCAATTCCACTTCAACAAAGAACAAGTTTAGTTGCTCATGCCCCAGGAAAATTGTGTGCCAGTGCATTCTGTTCAACAGAACTACAAAAGTCCAGATTCAACACCTGAATCCTGGATTAAGCCAAGTTTTCATCTCAGTCTCTCAAATTCTACTGCCTAAATAGAGAACATGTTTAGCCATGCCTGCTGTACCTTAAGATGTGCCCTAGCATTGCAAAAATTTGGATTCAGTTTCTGGGTTCAGCTGGATTCTGCCAAATTTTGTTCACAAACACAGAAATTGTATCAACAAAACAGAGAACAAATTTTGCTTCGACTATTCCACCAGAGAAATCTGGACCCCAGTACAAAAAAGCTGCATGGACTGCTGAAGCCAGTTAACTGTTGGCCACCTACCATTTTTTTTACCACCTAAATTTAGTATAGATGAAACTTCTCCTACTCAAGCAGAGTAATCTGGAATTCAGAATAGTACATGATGAATCATGGTGCAACAGTGCTGCAGAAAACACATATCCAGCAGTTGAACGTCGGGGTGTCCATCTAGGTTTTGCCACTGAATATGCAAATACTGCAATTGTCAGATAACCATACTGGAGTCATAGCTTACAGAAATCCATCTACCTTATACAACATGATGTCTTTCACTACCACATACATATGTTAGTTGGCTCATTTACCTCCCTCTTTTCATTGGGTGCACTTACAAAGTTCATTCTGGTTTTAAAGGTATTCCCAATCCATGCGACATTCTTTATTTAAATTTTATTTCTTGAAATGCTACTACCTCTAAAACCAGAATGAACTTTTTAAAAGTACCCATGGTAGTTCATTAAATGCCTGGTACCTCCCTTTTATATTGCTGGTCATTTATTTATTCCTTAGAAGCTAGAAAGTATAATAATCAAGGTCCATATTTAGCAATGTATATATGAGTTTTATTTTAATACACTCATTCAAAGCTTTGATTTTGTTGCATTTCCATCTGCTAAGGAAATAGTGTCCTGATGATTACTATTGTATAAATTGTATGGCTGGTCATTTATGGAACATTTCTGAGGATTGTTTCCAGTACACTGCATATGTACTAAATTTTGATGATAAAACAGGGGGAGGGTATGTAGGTGTTAAGCATTGGCATTTTGACACTACATGCTAGTTTTATTCTAATTGTAAAGGATAGTAGTATGCAAATCAGTTATTTAAATCAAAAAGCTGTTTGAGGACTAGTCCTGTGGTTAGCGTAATATGCTGGGATTTGAAACTACAGTTCAATTCCTGAGCTGTTAGGGCTGATAATTCTGCTGAGTCAGCATGTTCCACTCCTGGAGGTGGCAGGAGTATTTTGCATTGCTCAAAATGAGTGCTCTGTTGCCAAGTAAATAGCAGCATCAATGGGATCCAAATAGGCGTTCCATGTATCTCTTCATAGCCAAGGAAGGTTGCTGGGATGTGGGGCTTAGGAAAAGACAAGTCTTCTGCTGATAGAATATTTTTCTTTTTGCATTTGTAATACTTGATGCCTTTATTCCTTTGGTACATTTTGTGATTCTCATTAATAGAGAATTCAGGCACAGCATCCAATATAGCCACTTTTTAGCTGGATGTTCACTGGTATGATAAGCAGTGAAGTGCTTAATAAATGTTAACATTTAAATTGTCACAGTTAGGTGTCAGAGCCAACATCTTATTGAGATGAATGGGCAATAGTTCTTCAGTATTTCCATTGGTGCTATTGTTTTACTTCTTCTATGTCCAGACTCATGACAACAGTGCATAAATTTGCAATATGAAAGTTCATTGTAACTAAAGGGGTTTGTAACTTTTTTTTTTTAATTAAAATGAAACTTTACACTTTGGAAAATACTGCAGAATCAGTATGAAGGCCTTGAATGTGTGGTTTTTCTGCCTCCCATAGGTTCCTATTGGCTCCATTTGTAGCAAAACCTTTCAGGGATGTACTGTTTTTATGAGAGTTGATGAACCCTATAAAAACATTTATAGAGATTGAGAGTTACCATCCCACTTTGCAGTGTTTTACCAAAGTCATGGGCATCAATGTTTTTCCATAATGAAAAGGTCACATGTTAAAAAAAAATTAATTTCACTTCCACCAGTTCACAAATTGCCCTGTCTTTGGCTTTGTGTCAACATCATGCAGTGGATATAGTTCCTTTTTGGCTAAGTTAAACAAGAGCCTCTTAAATTACACTTAGAGTTCAGATTGGAGGTGGGGAAAAGTAGTGATACTTTTCCAAGATCCAGCCCTCCCCCCAAATCAATTTCTGTGCACTTGAGACACCACTCTTGGTGGAATGTCTAGATGTTCAAAATATGATCATGTGGGCTCTGCTATGGTCTTTCTTCACAGAGGGAGGGAAATAAATGGTGATATTCTCTCAAGCACCATCTACTTCTGATGGAAAAATGAGATGTCAATCACAGTAGATTGTGCTGTCTTCATAGTACAATTCTCCATCTCCTTTATATGCTTTGATCAGCTGTGAAATAATTAATGATGTTCATATTTAAATTATTATTGTGAGTGTGAGCCATCACATCATTGTGGTGAATAGGGGCAGTTCACACCTCACAGGACTATTGTTACAGTCTCTCTGAAGATTCAGGCAGACATAGAATCATAGACATCAGTCATAGACATCAATTACATTTGCGCTTTTTATGGTTTTCTTCATAATCAGAGGGTTTGAGATTTACTTTTTTTTTTTTAATTAAAACATAAATTCTGGAGCACAAGATACTACCACTGTGTGGCTGGCTAAGGGTACAGCATATTGCTACCTATGCACCAAAACCTTACACACATGACTTACTCCCATTGAGTTCAAAGTTACTCACATGTGTAAGTTTTTTCAGAATTGGGCCGGTTGTGAGCTGAATTCAGGATGAGTTGTAACACTAATCCATTCAGATGTTAGGGTCATCATCTGGTTTGAGTAAAGTGAAACTGTGGGTTTGAAGCGGACAAGTTATAGTGAACGGCAAACAAAGTAAATACAAGTATATGATGGAATAAGTTATGTAACTTCATTATTTTAAGACTTCTTCCCACAAAATGCTCCTTCTCATAAGAGAAACAACATACACTTTTAGGTCTTAATCTGCAAGTCGATGCACTGGTATGGATCCTCTTTTATGTAATCCCTTTAACTTCAATGGAAGACCACATAAGTGCAAGAGTCTGGGGCCCTAGTTTTGACAGTAATTGAAGTCTTTCAAGAGAACCTCAGTTTTCCTGGCACTTGCATTTTAAATTATTTGTTTAGCAACTAGCATTGTCATCTTTCTTCTATCTTAAATGAAATGTTGAAAGAGGAATTTTATCACTAAATTTGTGATAATATGTTAAAGCTGGAAACGTCTTAATAATAATGATAATAATAGTAATAATAATAATGATACCTAACTTTTAGCTAGAGCTTTTCATCATTAGATTCTAAAGGAGGTAAATATAATTATCCCCATTTTACAGATGTTGAAACTGAGGTATAGGGAGGTGAAATGAGTTGCTCATTGTCACTTAGTAGGCAAGTGGCTGGTGTCCCAGGTTAGTGCTGTACTCTTAGGCCATGCTGTCTCTCTTTCTTTAGTCTGAAGGTGTCCAGAATAGTAAATTTCTGCAGTCTGTGCATACCAAAAAGAAGTTTACCGTGGGAAATAGTTAAAATATATTAATTTCATCAGTTTAGATTTTTTTCTGTATAGTTTTTAAATGCAATTGATAATTTGATTATTTTTTAAATTGGTGCAATGTCTGAAATTGCATAGTTAGTCTGTAAACACAGTACTTAATATTTTGGGTTCTAATTGGTCAAATTCATCTCTAGAGTAACTCCATTGTCTGATCTCATAGTTTACATCCACAACAAAATACAGTCTTCTGAAACTTGGAGAAAAATTGCCAGTGGCAGCAACATAGTCAGAATTTTGGGATTTCTAGATCTAAACTACATTTCCAAGAATTTCTACAGTATTTAACAGTTTCTTAATAGCTTTGAAGTTATTAGAGGTTTTTAGAAATCACACTGGTTTTGTTGTTTCTGCAGTTCTTAAAACACAGTATGACTCGTAACTGTGTTTGCCTTGACTGATCTGTTGAATACCTAAATAATATAATTTTATACATCTACAAGACCACATTTGTATTCTAGCTGGGAAAAAAATAACTCAGCTGTGAGGCAGGAAACCACAAATCACACCACATTTACTATAGTTTTTTTATAGTAATCTTTGCCTCTGGATATTAACTAGAAAGCCAACCTGCTAACCTCTGGTAACAAACCATGTTATTTATGTGAGAGAGACTGCAATTTAATAATAATGTGGGATTTGTCAGAACAAGTCTGTAAGTACTATGGTATATGTGTTCCACTGTGCTGACATGCTAGGAGGTTAAGATACATTGCAAAATATTGACGTGCCACCGGTGATGGGTTGAGTGAGTAGATGGAGGTTTGGTTTATTTCTTACAGTAATCATTTCAG